GGGTTTGTTATAAAAGTGAGTTTAGCCCTCTCTTGCTTGATTTCTTGTTCTCTCTCACACACACTCTTGCCCCTTCACCATGGATGACACAGCAAAAAGTCCCTCACCAGATGTGGGCCCCTTGACCTTGGACTTCCTAGCTTCCAGAACTAAAAGAAATAAATTTCTTCTCTTCATAAATTACCCAGGCCAAGGTATTCTGCTATAGCAACAGCAAAATAAAATAAGATAATATCCCTACTGGTTTTCTGTCTGCTGGATCTGTCAATTACTGATAGAGTGTTGATGTCTATTAGTGGGTTCGTTTATTTCTCTTTGTAGTTCTATCATTTTTGCCTCACGTATTTTGATGCTCTATTAAATGCATACATATTAAGGATTGTTATGTATTCTTTTAGAATTAACTCCTGTATCAGGAAATGCCCCTCTTTATCCCTAATAATTTTCCTTGTTCTGGGGTCTCCTTTGTCTTAATATTAATCCTCTCTTATTTGTGATTTTGATTTCCACATTTCCCAGTCAACTATAGTCCCAAGATATTAAATGGAAAATTATAGAAATGAAAGATTCATAAGTTTTAACCCTTTGCACTCGCTTGCTTTTTTCTCATCATCCACTCGACATTATCCGCACTCGACATCCAAGTGCAAAGGCTTAAATTACAAGCCATTCTGTGTAGCATGATGAAATCTTGCACCATGCCACTCTGTCCTACCTGAGATGTGAATCATCCCTTTGTCCAGTCTATTCATGCTGTATATGCTACCCACCCACTGGTCTTAGTAGCCATCTTGGTTATCATCTCACATCATCACAAGAAGAAGAAGGTGAGTATAACACAATAAGATATTTTAAAAGAGAGAGAGAGAGATCGACCACATTCACATAACTTTTACTATAGTATATTGTTATAATTGTTCTATTTTATTATTAGTTATGCTTGCTAAGGTCATACTATACCTAATTTATAAATTAAACTTCATTATAGATATGTAAGTATAGAAAAAAAATCCCAGTATATATAGGGTTTGGTACTATTCAGGGTTTCAAGCATCCAGTGGGGGTCTTGGAATGTATTCCCTGTAAATAAAGGAAGAGGGACTACTGTATATAGCTACTCCAGCTTTCTTTAATTATTATTAAGGTATATCTTTCTCCATCTTTGACTTTTAATCCATCTCTACTTTTATATTTAAAGTGAGTTTCTTATAGACAACATACAGTTGGACCTTGTTTTTTTAAAACCACTTCAACAATCTGTCTTTTAATTGATATATTTAGACTTTTCACATTTAACATGATTATTGACCACCATGGCCTATGCCTGTGTGTACCACTGGGGGAACCTGAGAACATTCCTGTTCCACCTGACAGTGGGCCCCCAGTGCCCAAGCACACCACCCAGGGACCTGGGGATGTCCCTGCTGTGTTGGTTGTCCTGGTTGCATGAGTGTCTGACCAGGGGGCTTAACAACAGGCCCAGAAAACCTGCCACTGGCATTCAAGCATGCCAGTTATCAGATGGATCTAAGAAGAGTTGATGATTTTTTCTTGTAAGGATGGAAGGGGCAATTCCAAACTCTTTCTAGTATTAATTTTTAATAGGACAAAACTAACATTTTTGAAAATAATATTTTCTGTCACCCAAACTGATTATTTTTTATTTTGCCAGTGTTCACTGCTACATGTAACTTGCCTTCAATGTTAATACTTGGACCCCTTTGGTTACTCCCCCCCCATGGATGTATGCATGCATGCATACATGTAGGCATCTTCAAATTATATATATTAAATATTTGCAGCTTTTTGTGTATCAATTATACTTCAGTAAATTGTTACATAATAAATTCAAAATGCATGTGGTTATTACTCCCCTAAATGTCAGTCCTTGGAATGAGATATTTCTGAGGTCATTTGAAGTATATCCCAGGACTCCCTCACCTGTATTTTTCATTTTGAAACCAGTATCTATAATGTCTCTCTTTCAGACATTCTTCAAAAACCTGCTCCTATCTTCCCTTCTAGAAAACTCTCACTTTTTCTTTTCGTCTAGCCAGAGTTTTCTCAAGCGTTTTTCTAGGTAATTTATTCAATAATACTTTCTCCCTTCTTTGAAATCCTGTTGTAAACATGACTGTACCACCCTGATTTACCTCATTCTTTCTGTAATTTTTTTTTCAATAGCATAGGTCTCGTCTCCTCATGTAAACTTTAAAACTTAATGAGAGCAGGGCCCAGGCATTTTAATGTTTATATTTCTTTTACACCAGATAGCTAGTCTGGAGCTAGGCACTTATTAGGAATTGGCAAGGACTCCTTGATGGATTGTTATGTATCAATATTTGCTAGGAAATTATGATTGCAGAGTGATTTATAGACTTAAACACCAACCTGCTCTTTAATTACAGAAAACAAGTCACCTCTAGATTTTTCAAGAGCTGATAATTAAGACACCTCATATATATTAATAGATGGACCAAGGATCATTTTTCAAATCCTCTCTCCAGATTCTTTCTGCAGCCTGTGAAGAGCTGTTTTTGGAAACTGCATTAGAAACGAAGAAGGAAAGTCTTGGTTGAGAGGAACAGGATCAGCTTTCTGCCCCGTGCCTGGCAGAGGCTGTGGCTGCCCGCCATGTGAAGCTTTAAATCAAACTGAATTTGTGGTGCCTAAGCAGATTCTGGAACTACAGAGGGTTCTTCCATAGCAAGTCACACAGAGCTAAAAGAATTGAATGTGGCAGGATTTACCAATTGCAGCAAGAAAATGAAGACAGCAAAAGTCAATGTAAACCATGAAGATAGTAAATTTCCAATTTTTTCTTGGTTAGGTACATGTTGGGAAAGGGAAACTATAGCTTTAGTCAAGAAAAACAATTAATAGAAAGACTAACAGTATTAAACTTGTGTGGTTCAGCGATGGTACATAAATGTAAAGGGATTCAGATTCTAGGAACTCTCTTCTACCAACCCAACTTTGAACCCTTCCTTCACTTATATGGGAGCCAGAATAGATTAAGCCAAACCAATATTAAATGTCAATAAATGTTAATTACAAATATTTTTGGAATAGCCAATAATAATCTACCTCCAGAAAATGAGATGTTTATATTTAATAACATCCCTTTGCATTTGCATAGTGCTATTTACTTTTCAAATCACTTTAACCCATTTTTGCTTCACAAAATGTTAGGGTAAGTATGGTACTTATTTTGCCCAATTTAAAAGTGAGTTAAATTAAGATATCATTGAGTTAATGTCTTTAGAGGGACCCAGCTTGAGCCTGTAAGTAGGAGGCTTGTACTTAGAAACCAGTCTTCTCTGAACACAGTCATTTTTTCCAATTTTATGTTCAGTGCCAGTAAACTAGAGAGGCCTTCCCTGCATTTATACTCAGGTGTCTAAAAAGAAGAAGAGAATTACTTATGGTTCCCCAATTTTCCATCTAAGATATTTCATGCTTTCAAATATATGTATTTAAGAACCTACCCCAGAACTTAACTGCAGGATTGCCATCACATACATGTATGATTTGCTTTTTCTTTGGCCAAAGGCAGGAGGAGACAGAAAAGAGAAGTCAGCAGGGTGCCCACTTTAGCCATCCAGGAGGTAGCTAGTTGTTAGTGAGAATGTAACTCCCCAAAGAAACAGGAGGTGCACCGTCTCAGGAAAGAATCCTCACCACTCAGCCCTTTGTGAAGAACACCTGTTCCTGGCTGTTCAAGGCTCTTTGTAGCTCCACTTGAGAAAGCAAAGGAAAAAAAAAAAAAAAAAAAAACAGGACTAGGAGAAAATGTCACATAGCTCCCATGAGGGCAGAAAGCAGGAGGACAAATGGGGAACAGTGCCTGGAGAAATCAGGGTCATGGGAGGGTTAGCATCATTGGGGGATTTAGGGGGCAGGCATGTGACTGCATTGGACAAAAGCCAGGAAAAGCAGAAAATAGGCTTCTAACTGATGTTTGGGGATACAAGGCCACTAAACATCTTCAGTTTACAGTATCTCATAAGGCAACCATTTCCAATTTCCTCATTACTGTCAAAACTCTACTCCTGCAGATTTTTTCCCTTCATGTCAAGGTGCAAAAATCCAACTGTACTTAATAATATTGTATTGTATTGTATAATTGAAATTTGCTAAACAAGTAGATTTTAGATACTTTTACCACAAAAATGGTAACTATGTGAGATGATGGATATGTTAATGTTCTTGACTATAGTAATTATTTTACTATGTATCTGTACATCAGAACATCATGTTATACTCCTTAAATATACACAATAAATAAAACAAACAAACAAACAAAAAAGATGGAAACATTACTCTTAGTGGCAAGCCCCAAGTGGAAATCCTTACACTCCTTGCCTAGTTTAATCTTGAATGGGATATGAAACCTGAGGGGCAAGGCACAGGGCAATCATTCTCTACATGAGTGTTCTGAGCATATTGGCTACAACTGAAGCTCTTTAGAGTCCAGTAAATATTAATCAGCATTTGTATCTGTCCATACTTTGTCATTTGAAAATCTATAGCTTAATTTTGATTTTCTATTCATTTCTAAGGATGCCCATTAAAAAGAACTGTAAATATTTCCTAGGAAAAACAAACTAAAAAGCTAATCTAATAAAGTACCGCTCTGAACTTCTAAAAAAAAAAAAAATCCAATGGGTTTTCATAAACTCAGTTTAGAACATGGAACCCAGTGTTTCATCCTTTTTGCCACAAAATCATGTTGGCTTTATTTATCAAAGCCTAGTGACATGTTAATATTTCTTTTTGCTGAGTGAATTCCTCACTTCTTTTCTTTCCCATCTGATCTTCACGTCAAGAGCCACTTTTTGTGATTTCATGTTGAAGGTCCTGCCCACCCATACACCCAACCAGGACTCCGCCGTGCCTACCAAAGACCTGTATGAGCTGCCTAACCATCTGTAGTCTTTGCATGGCTGCTTTCTGCCCAAATCAAGCCAATTCAGCAAAGAATACTATCTTTATTTCAGGCTCCTCAAAGAACATCTTGGAGAAAAAGAAGTTGAGTTGGCACTCATCTTTGATTCAGTGGTGGAAGCTGACCTGGCGAATTATACCTGCCACGTAGAAAACCGAAATGGACGGAAACATGCCAGTGTTCTGCTGCGTAAAAAGGGTATTTATGGTTTGTTTGGCTACCAATAATTATTGAAGTTAGATATATTTCCTGGCCTGATTTTATCATTCAGTATAAACTTCTATTAACCATTTTGTCTTTTTAAGGAAAAATCTCTCTCTTGCTGTGCATTAACATGAAATACCTATGACCTTCAATGACATTAGGAAGTAGAGAAATGAAATGAATTATCATTATGTGTTAAATCCAGTGAGATAAAGTGTACCTTGGTTATAAGCATTACATAAAACTTGATACATGTTGACATTCAATATTTTCTCCATATTTTGCCTTTTCATGTCTTATATTACTTAAATGAAGTGCAAGAGATTTTATTACTGGATGAGAAATGAAGTTGCACTTTTAGTCCCTGACTAGAAAATAAATAAAAATAATTAATAGTACCATATAATATTATTATAGTTATCATAAAAATTGTAAACTAATTTTATAATATTACCTGGTGGTAAGAGGCCTTTACCAGGTGCATATATTTCTAAATAACTTGGCATTTATGGAGATTCCTCTCTAGAATTGGTTCCAGATGAGGTGGAAATTGTATCTAATGGACAAAGAAAAGAAACTTTAAATTTACAGTTAAAGGGCATAAAAACAGACGTGGGAACAACAGTCTCAGCAGCTAGGGTAGCTTCTGAATTGGCTTTTACCTTGCTGTGACTCTTGATTACTACAAAAGGCTAAATACTTTCTGTATGTGTGCATCTGGCAAAGGTTTTGTCAATGTAGCAGAGCGAATGTTCTCCATCAGGGTTTGTGTTGCCTGGGCTATGCAGCAATAGAACAGATTCAGTCAGCAAGGTCACTAGAAGAAGCAGGGAAGTTTCATTATTCTGAGAATAATGCTTTGATCTCTCTAGCACCACTTCTTCTTACTCTATTGGACTTGATTTTGTCTTAAAACAGAAGAGTATTTAAATATAAAAGAGTCTAATATAGAAAGGGAAGTCAAGAGACCCAGGTTGACAGCCACCTTATTCAGTAGCACTAACTCGTCTGACGAGATTCCCTGAACCTTAGTTTCTTCATCTGTAAAATACGGGTAATAACATCTACCTTGCAGAGTCACTTTGAGATTCAAATGATAATGATGGCCGGGCGCGGTGGCGCACGCCTGTAATCCTAGCTCTTGGGAGGCCAGGCGGGCGGATTGCTCAAGGTCAGGAGTTCAAAACCAGCCTGAACAAGAGCGAGACCCCATCTCTACTATAAATAGAAAGAAATTAATTGGCCAACTGATATATATATAAAAAATTAGCCGGGCATGGTGGAGCATGCCTGTAGTCCCAGCTACTCGGGAGGCTGAGGCAGGAGGATCGCTTGAGCCCAGGAGATTGAGGTTGCTGTGAGCTAGGCTGACACCACGGCACTCACTCTAGCCTGGACAACAAAGCGAGACTCTGTCTCAAAAAAAAAAAAATGATAATGATATAATGGATGTGAAATATACCATGCCCCAGCAGTGTTTGCTATGACATAGAACTTGGATAATTTTTTCCTATGCAGTATGTAACTACTTAGTTAACTTACATGAGAAGCAGGCATTGATCCTGTCCAAATACCTTATGGAAAGGATCACTTTATTCCTTTCCATCTTAGTCTTATTGCAGGCTCAGAGATTCTCCAAGCCAGAGCTTGATGCTGTACCTCTTTATCCTCAGCAACTTGGACAGTGTCTAGCCACAAATAGGCACTTGGAATCCATTCTGGTCAAATAGATGATGAAAGTTCTCTTTTTTTGTTGAGGACTCAGGTGCAGCAAGCACTATGCTAGGTGCTGAGTAATAGAGTGCCACGTACGATAAACATCCCCAAGTCCTCTTGGAGCTTATAGTCTTTGGAGAGGTGAAAGCACAAAGAAAGACAAACATTAAACCAAAAAATGACACAAAAGAGAGTATTACAATTAAAAACCTCTTATGAGGAAAATAATGGAAGTCTTCTCATTCATCCAGTGTAGACAGAAATAACCTTATTTGAGTTTTAAAATAAATCCATTTCTCTCTAATAAGTAAAACAACAACCAGCAGCCCTTAAAATTCTAAAAATCTCTCTCTAGAAACCAAGATACACTATAAAACTCTGCTGCCTCCCATCACTTCTGTAAGGAAACCTGTCTAAACCATGAATAACTAATGATATTAATTCTCATCTTCCTGATATTTAAATATTGGGGTTCCCCAGGGTTCAGGTCTCCTCACTCACTCCCTTGGTGATTTTATTCAGGCTTCATCTGGTTTTGCGTACCATTTATATGCTGACAACTCCTAAATTTATACCTCCAGCCTGGACTCCTCACCTGAACTCCAGACTTGTATACTCAATTGCCTATTCAACAACTCCGCTTCGAGATTTAGTAGGCATATCAAGCTTAGCTCGTCTCAAACAGGATTTCTAATTTCTCCTCCCTGTGAACCTGATCCCTTCTTCATCTCCATCACCATCCTTCCTGTTGTTCAGGCCAAAAATGGTCTATTTTTTCTTTTCTCTACTCACATCCTATATCTAGTCCAGCAGCAAATCCTATGGCTCTAGTATCAAATCCTACCCAGACTCTGAGCACTTCCCCCACCTCACTGCCCCCACCCTCATCCGAGCCACCAGCACCCATTGCCTGGATCACAGCAAGAGCCTCCTAATTTGGTCTCCCTGCTTCCACGCTGGTCCCCTCCCAATCTATTCTTATCACAGCAGCCAGAAGGATCATTTAAATATGAAAGTCAGATCGTGTTATTCTCCTGATCAGAACCCTCTGATCACAGATCCCTCCCTCTTACACTTAGAATGAAAGCCCAAATCCTTACCGTGTCCTATAAGGCACTACACAGTCTGTTCTGACTTCTGACATTATTTTCTGCTACCGTCTACCTGAAACATTATACACACTAGCCTCCTGCCTGCTTCTTATGCTCATCGAGCACCTGCCTCACATCCTCTGTATCTGCTGTTTCCTCTGCCTGGAACACTCTCCCCCCAGCTGTCTCCATGACTCCTTTCTCCTCCTCAAATGGGTCTCTGCTTAAGTAGTACCCATTCAATAGGCCTTCCCTGGCTACCTTATGTAAAATAGTATTAGCCTTCATTTCTTCTTTTCTCTAACCTGGCTCTATTTGTTTTTATTGTATCTATTATTATTTGATTACATTACATATTTATTTGCTTCTTGTCTTCTTTCCCCCACTAGAGGACCAGCATGATGGGGTAAGAGATGGCTAACAGAGATTGGTAAAAGACAATTTGGGCCGGACGTGGTGGCTCACACCTGTAATCCTAGCATTCTGGGAGGCCGAGGCGGGTGGATTGCTTGAGGTCAGGAGTTCGAAACCAACCTGAGCAAGAGCGAGACCCCCGTCTCTACTATAAATAGAGAGAAATTATCCAGACAACTAAAAATATATAGAAAAAATTGGCCGGGCATGGTAGCGCATGCCTGTAGTCCCAGCTACTTGGGAGGCTGAGGCAGCAGGATTGCCTGAGCCCAGCAGTTTCAGGTTGCTGTGGGCTAGGCTGATGCCACAGCACTCACTCTAGCCTGGGCAACAAAGTGAGACTCTGTCTCAAAAAAAAAAAAAAAAAAAAAAAAGACAATTTGATCTGTGATTTTTGTCTTGACTAATGTCTGCCCCTGGGTTACCTAAATGTATTATGTCTTTTCAAAGATTTTTACTTTCCCAGGGTTGAAAACTCAAAAGACCTCAGGGCTCAGGCAGATATAGAAATTTTTTTAAAAGAGGGGTAGAAAAAACAAAACTCAGACCTGAGAAAACATACCATACTTTAAGGAGGCAACAACTACTCTGTTCTAGAACATTGCTGTTGTGCTTGCTGGAATGTGGGTCCAGGGATATGAGAGCTTCAAAATTTTCAAGTGAAGCTGAAAGACTGGGTATGAAATCTTTTGATTTTTAAATATTAGTGTTCATTTTTTGAAACATTGTATAATCCAACAAAACCATTTTTTTTTTTTTTTTTGCCTATGGTATACAAGTTTGCACTCACTGTTCTAGGTAGCCTTAAAGTTTTTCACTGTGTTTTGCAAAAGGATGCAGTTAATCTTCCCTCACTTGGTCTCCTTAGGAACTCTCTACAATATGGTGGAATCCCAAAAAAGAGATATACCCAATATGGTGGAATCCCAAAAAAGAGCAAGAATCCCTGTGGCTCTGCCCTAAGTTTTTTGGTCAGACCAAGATCTGGCTTATTTTGAGAAACTTCAGATATTTTCTTTGGAGTTGGACTATTTATACTTTATCACAGAATAGTCTGGCCTCAGTGGTAGTAGTGTTCCCACCTGGAATATGGGTATAGATTGTTTTCTGGAACAATAACTTCCTGATGAGCTTCAAGTCAAATATTTAAAGTGCCCTAAGTGATCATTATGGAGAAGAAACATGATGAATCCTTTCATAAAGTAAAAAGGCCTTTTAAAAATGAAAGCTCACATCTAATATACCCAATTAACAAGATCAGGTTTTGTAAAAGCAAGACACCCCTTACCTATGCATCTTCTACCTGCACCTATCAATTCCTTATTCTCTGTTGCACTATTTGCCAGTGTGTACAACTAGCATTTCAGTAAGAGGCCTTTTAGCATTTCCATACTAAATTTTTTCTTTGGTGAGCCAAGAGTCTGAACTCAGGCTAAAGAAATTATGATAATTATTTCTGCTTCTCTGCACACACTCACTTTCTCACAAAACAGAGTCATGTCACTGAATCTCTCCCTTCATTCCCAGTGCTACTGCTCCACCCTGACACCCCAAACATATATAGGAAGCTTTCTTAATCTGTTCAGGCTGCTATAACAAAATATGTCTGACTGGGTAATTTATGAACAACAGAAATTTATTGCTTACAGTTCTAGAGGCTGGAATGTTCAAGATCAAGCATCAGCAGATTTGTGTCTGACGAGGGCCCATTCCTCAATTTCATCTGAGAGTTCATAAAAATGGTCTTTACCATCCATATTTCTACCAACATTCTGATCCCGACCACTTAGGTAATCTCTAAAATAATTGAAGATTTCTCTGCAGCTTTCCTCTTCTGAGCCCTCACCAGAATTGCTCTCAAGGCGTATTTCACAGCAATATACCTTTAAACTCTTCTAGCCTTTACCCATTAGGTAGTTCCAAAGTTAATTTCACATCTTTAGGTATTTTTTACAGTAGCACCCCAATTCTCAGTACCAATTTCTGTCTTAGTCCATTTGGTGCTATAACAAGATATCTTAGACTGGTAGTATATAAACAACAGAAATTTATACTTCACAGTTCGGGAGGCTGAGAAGTCCAAGATCAAGGCACCAACAAATCTGGTGTCTGGTAAGGGTCCATTCCTCAGATATGGCACCTTCTGTGTGCCCTCACATGGAAGTAGGGGCAAACAGGCTCCCTCAGGCTTCTCTTATAAAAGCACTAATCCCACTCATGAGGGCTCCACCCTCATGACCGAATCACCTCCCAAAGACCTCCCTCTTAATATCATCACCTTAGGAATTAAGTTTCAACACATGTATTCTGAACAAACATTCAGACCATGGCAGAAGCTCTCTGGTGGGATCTCCTGACCTGCTTCCCAACTTATGAGTCAGAGGAGCAAGCTCAAACATTCCCAGCCTTCCCTCTTTCCAGTCCCTTGGCTTCTGCTGCTATCTGTCCCATTCTATAACATCTGATCTTTGTGTTCACAATGAAGAAATAGTTGGGTTCAAACTAAGAAGGTTAAAAAGAACTACACTTATACTTTGGGTGCCTAGAAAAAGTTATAACCCTATAAATATTTGCTGTTCTTGCTACAGCTGTCTTTGTGAAGTGTATATAAGACACAGCCCAAATAAAATGACTTTCAGCTTCTCAGTCAGGAAATGTCCCTGGAAGTATAGATCCTGCTGCGATTGAAAATGGCAATTGAAAATAGAAGACAAAAGAAAAGCCAGGTGTCATTTGGGTGATGGCAATTCTGCCCTCTGATTATAGGATAGATGTTTCCCTTTGATGTGACTGCCTGGGCTGAATCAAAGAATAGTGGGAGAGTCTCAGGGCCTAGGTCCACAGTTTTCAACTTAAACAGCTATCATTACATAATATCTTTCAAAGACATTTTTATAAAATGGACCCCAAAACCACAAAGAGACTTTTTAAACTATGGTTTTCTTCCACGAATTTGCTGCTGAAAAAGGTGTCTGCTACTTGAGAGCACAAATTGTTCCTGCTGCTGAAGTTTTCCATTTACCTAATAGCAACTACTCTGTAAATAACATAGAAATTGCTGAAAAACTTCCCATTCCCTGACTTTGAAAACAGTTGAAAGCTGTTCTGACCAGAGAGAGAGAGAGAAACAGAAAGAGAGACCAAAAAATGTGCAGCACAAAATGAACATCTTAGAACAGGAAAAACATTTTGAATCAAGTCAATCAGTGCCCCAAGATGAAAGAGAAGTTGGTTTTCTGGGTAACAAAGAAAACCATATTGCTCTGTCAATTTAATACTGGCTATTAATAATGTATAATTGATGTAAGATGGTGAGAAAACCAGCAAAACTTGTGATTTGTGGCTCACAGAGGCTTAATAAGCAAGCCTGCTTTATTCTCCACATAGAGGAAGGCAGTGGTTCTTTGAAAGCTACTTTCTATACAGGGGGCAGGAGGCAGAGCTAATATATGGTGGGATTTTTTTTTTTCCCTGAAATTTTGCAGCTTAATTTTTAAAATAACCACCTCTCGCAGCAGGCAAGACAGATTCCAATTTCCTACCTGCGTCCCCTCATGATGTTCCTTGTTGTCATTTTCTGTCCTTCATAGCAGCCTCATTCTCTTCCTTTTCCCATCCTCTCCCCTCTCTCTTACTCAAAAAGAGTGACATGTATTTGTGTGTCTTCCATTTCCACTCTATGACTCCCCTGATTGGCTACACTGTGTCTGGCCATCATCATCTCTTCTTTCACTCCACTTTTTTTTCCAAGACTAAATTTTCTCTCTCCCCACAAAACCTAACACTTCTCTTCGTATGCTGGACTCTAAGGAACCCCTCCTTCCTCCCTGGCTCCAGCCACAGGATTCTGCAGTACCCTCCAATGAAGTGGCTGAGAGCTGCCCAGTTCTTTCATTCTGCTTGGTGAATTGTGGTTTCCCTTATTCTCTTGCAACTGAAAGGGCAGGGGGAGCCGAAATTTACCATAAGTCACATGTTGTCAAGAAGCCCTACCAACAGTTCCATGGAAGAACAGGTAGAAGGCTTTCTGTTGTCACTTTCCAGGCTGGAGTGTATAAAGTTGTGGTATAATGAAAAGAGCCTTGAATTTGAAGTTAGGAGACCTGGGCTTAAGTCCCGTTTTGACCACTTGTTAAGTGTATGACCTTGGGCAAGTGATTTAAACCACTGAGTCTCAGCTTTTCATCCATAGATTTGGAGCAATAATTCTTGCCCTAAAGGTTTATTTAGAGAATAGATAATAGACTGGTGGGAATTTATATATATATATATATGTGTGTGTGTGTGTGTGTGTGTGTATATATATGTGTGTGTGTGCGTATGTATATATATGTGTGTGTATGTATATATATAACTTGTAACTATTTGTATATATTATATCTTTTATTTCTTTTTTATAATCTGTAATGTGCTAAATATATCTTAATTATTACATTGAGCCTGACTAATTTCTCTTAAGCAATAATTCTACACAGAGATAGGGACATTGCGAGAGAAAGGTTGACTGTGTGGTTCTCAAAAGTGAAAGCCTGTCATGGTCAGCAATTTGATTTTGACAGTGCCTCAGAATTGATGCATCCAGGGAGACTGACTTATGCCAACCAAACTTACAAGCAACTAATGTACAAACTAGAATGTCACTCCCTTTTCCAGTTTCTAGTTACATAGCAAGCTGAATTCGTAATAAAAGAATCACTCGGTAATTATAGATTAAAGGGAGATTAGGTAATCTTGTAGGCAATTTTATTTAATTATGACGAGAACAGTGAGATCCCTGTCCCACAGTGGGAAGTATGTCTCTGGTCTGGTTTCTCCCAGATTCAGCATTTCTCCTCTGATCATTGCTAAACTCACAATCTAAATTCTCCTCTGACTTCCTATTTCTATAAATTCCAAGATATCATCCATCCCCTCTTTTGATAATGTACTCTTTAGACTTGTTAATGTCACTAAGATATAGGTAAGTCACTGTTCCCTGATCCTGGGAGACATTATGTCTTCTTCCATTATGTGTTGATTTAACTGTTCAATAGTGCTCAGAGCTCTAGGGAAGCCCCCACTGGAGCAGCCTAAAGCTGCTATCACATAGCCTGATGTTGGTCGAAGAGACCAAGTGATTAGCCTGGATTTCTCACTCTGTTTAGCTCCATTGGGCATATTATATCACATATATATTATAGTCATTTATTCAAATAAGTAGAGGAAATGGATAAGCTAATTTCCCCTGCTTACCTCGTATTAGATTATGTTCTACTGGGGTTAAAAGAAACAGTTAACATACTGCAAACTCATTAGATTTTATTTTATTCTGAAAGTAATTTTATGATGTTGTTCCCCTGTAGAAGAATAGGGCCTGTGGCCTGAGAAGTACTAGATGGTAATTTTGCTAACCCAATAAGATAATTTAACAGAAATAAAAAAAATATTGGCCCTGGACCCAGAATAGAGCATCTTTAATAGTTCCCTGAAATACACTTAAAGCAAAAGTATATGTGTGAAATCTAGATATGTTCAAAACAAATTGGGAGTAACTATTCCTTTTCAGATAGATTTACCACTTTTAATAGTAAATTAATTAAATCTTTAAAGAGAGTTAATTTTGCAGAAGTTTAATTGATACCAGTGTATCAAGAGCAAAGCTACTTCATTCAGCAAGTATCTTCTGGAAACAAAAAGCAGGCTGGGTAATCTTACATATTAGAAAAATATGGGACGATCCCAAGTGTTGCTAATTTAATTACCTTCTCCTGTTTATTCTGTTTGCTCCAGATTTAATCTACAAAATTGAACTTGCAGGGGGCCTGGGGGCAATCTTCCTCCTCATTATACTGCTAGTAGTCATCTACAAATGCTACAGCATTGAATTGATGCTCTTCTACCGACAGCGTTTTGGAGGTGATGAAACTACTGATGGTAAGCTGTCTCTTATTGTTCAAATTCAATTAAAAGGCATGCATTTGTGATTATATAAGAGAATATACCTATTCTTAGGAAATAGACACTGAAATATTTAGGGATTAAAGGGCTATGAGAAATGCAATTTACTCACAAATAGTTCAGAAAAAAATTATTTATAAATCAAGAAAAAAAGAAGAGAAAATATTAATAATAGGTAAATACTAGTAAAGGCTATATGTGTGTGTTTTATTTTTATAATGTTCCTATATGTTTAAAATTATTTCCAAGTAAAAGTTTAACAAGGAGACATTCGTTGCTCAGGAGATAAAACAATTGCTGCCGTAGCCCTTCTCCTTTGTAATAAACAAATTAAAAATCAGTTCCATTTTTTTGTCCGGAAAATTCTAATTTAGTTACTGATCATTTTTAGCCATTGCTGCCATCTGTAAAACAAATAATCATGGGAGAAACAGATTCAAAGCTATGGAGAGAGTCCTTTTAAAGCTCAAAGTATACGGACCTACATATTTTGGATGCTTATAGCACCATTCTCAAAGGTGACCTCAAAGGATAAAAATTCAGAATGTAGCTTATAATTTTCTTCTGTTTGCTGTTTATGGCTTTCAGAAATCTTACGAATGAAATATCAATAAAGCATTGTACTGAGCCTTATTTCTTTAAACATTCAAAACTGTTTAAAACATTTAAATGTAAAACTTTAATTTTTTCAAGAGAAATTGCCAAGTTTCCAATCAAAGCCAGTAAGAAATCATGACAGGTCATTCCTTCCCCAAACTACTATAAGCCTTGGAAATGTGTAGAATGCCATAGGTAAGCCAAAACTTTTTTTAAAAGAGTCCAATTTGGAAATAATTACTTTCAAAAGGCAGATTTGAAACTTATTTAATTGTACTGAAATAGTGAATGTTACAGCTTTTGCTTATTTTTTTGAGTTGATAGTCTTACCTCAAGGGAAAGGAGTTAATGATTTTGCTTTTACTTTTATGGTGATAAATGCAACATCAAAATTTTTGAGGAATCTTTGATTTTGGTCTTATTGTTACTGTTTTATAAATGATGATATGAGTGGATTTTAATTCACAATAAATTAGAGAAATGCTCTTGATGAGAATATATGCATGTTCATTTTTTAATCTACACATTTACCCAGCAAATATAGCAGCCTGTTTGAAAGTACTACAGATGCTTATTCAGAAATATCTTCAGAATGAGAAATTAGAGCCTGTCCAACAATTACTACATACTCTAACAATATATACGAACATGTGGCCAGTTACTCTCATTTCCTATGTATAACAGTTAATATTGAAAACTCTGGCAGAAAATAACTAGATGAGATATATTATTGAGGAAAATGTCACTGGTTCCCAGGTGCCAACAAGTGGCTAATGTATCCAGTTGGGAAGGTAAATGGTGTACTGTCTATATAAAAGAACATGAAAGGGAGGCTCCTATGATTCATTTGTTTTAAGTCCTGATTAAGCAATTTTTAATCTCTGTAAGAGAGGATAGAATTTATTATGTTAATCTGCAATAATTAATTACTTCCTCACCCATACCCAATAACCCAAACTAACTGATCAGTTGTAGTATGTATTTGTAAGATTAAGTTCGTGCTAATATCGTAGGACATTTCAGGGATTAAATATTCCATTTTGCATTTTTATCTCCAATGTGGCACATGTGGTTAAAGGTATCCAGTAATACGGAGCAATACAATTTTGAATTGTATTGATGTATTTGGTCAGAGATATGTATTAATTCCAAACCCATTGTTTGGCGGGAAATGCAATATGGAGGGAGGGCACTTAAAGGAGAGTTAAAATATTTTGTATTCCTACATGGAAACTTGGATGTTAAGTATACAACCTCTGTACTAGCTGAATGGAGTACAAAAAAGTTAGCAAGTATGTGATGATGAATACATTAATTTTAACACTCTTTTATAAATATCTAGTTGCATAATGCCAAATGTCAGCCAGATAATCTACCAAATTTTTCATTTATTCATTTAAATATTTTGATACCTTATAGACACAACTTAATTTTATCTGTATACTTTTTCTTCATGTTTTCCCATGGACCATAACAAAAGTGGTATTTCCTGAAAGTTCTTATAAAAATGCTTTATTTTTTATAAAATAAAAATCCATCCAACTAACTTTGACTTCTTAGCCATTTTTTAAATTTAATTCATTTCATTTCAGCCCGTCAAACAATGATTGCTTTGTTTATTCAACCTTTCGGGTTTTGAGTCATTAAATATTTATTAAGTGTCTACTCTGTGGCAGCCACTGTGCATGATACATTTACTTACATTCTTCATCTGGATCAACACTACACACACATGCGCACACACACAGGTACCATAGTAGGCACTAGGTATATACTAGTCAACAAGGTTGCAGTCTCTGTTTGCATTTTAGAAGCAAAGGGTTTAGCATTGTGTTTAGCATAGCTACAGAAAAACTGGATTGTAAACAGGAATGGCTTCTTGATGGTGAACACAATTAAAATTAGATTTAAAAACAGGGAAGGAGAGGTATGACAACAGGAAAATTCTTCCATGGAAAGTTTAGTTCTCTTCCTTATACCATGTCTCTTCATTAGGAAGAGCATACCTATGGTGACCACTATGCCAGCCCTCTTCCTTATAATGCTGTCTGCCTTGTGCTTTGCTTTCTAGTTCCTCAGATGAGTTTAGTCAGCATGATTTAGCACAGAAGAAGGCTCATTAGCCCTGCCTAGAAAAGTGGTGTCGCTAAAGTGCCTTTCCGTTTTAGAACAATTTTCAGGCCTTGTTGTTAACCTTATTTGCATCATGTTGTCGCTTTTGCCTGATCCATCTTGCTCCTCTTTGTGAGCAACAGCTGCAACTATTCATGAGGTTTTCTTGGCTGTCTACATAAGGCTGAAGTGCATTTTTTAAACTGTGGCATCTGCGTCACTGCTGGCTCACTAGCTGGCATCCTAGAGCTTCTGGGACATCTGACATGGTGGCTCTGAGAGCTGTCTTCCTGCTCTGGCTAGCCACCATAAGCTCTTCACCTTTAGTTCATCTTAAAGGGACATGACTGAAACCAGAAGCAACTATTTTCCAATGAATGATGTACTTCTAGAATGCTAGGTAAAATTTATAATCCAGACATGTTGAGTGTTAAACACATCAAAGACATCCAAGTTCTTTGCTATAACTTGGATTGGAATATGCAAATATAGAAATACTGTTCTAGGGGAGAGTCTTTGTAGCATTGAACTGCAGTATCAGGATATAAGTGAAGTCAATAAGGACAGAACCAGGATTATGTAAATTTAGGCATGTTTGTAGGGCAAATAGCCATAGTCAGGACAAGCAAGGAGACAGTAGTCTGGAAGGTCTGGTCAGATGAGTGAAGGTGTCAGGTAGCCATTGCAGATGGCGAGCTCATAACAAATGCTCAACAAATTATTGTTGAATGAATTAATAAGCAGTTACATTTTGGGAGGTTTGCAAGATAGGAAAGTTATAAAATCAGAGCAACAAGGGTCTAGTCTGACATTACGGAGTTTGAGGCAGCAACACTATCCACCAAGAACAATGAAATATCTTCTGCTCATAAGAATGGAGTTGTTTGTCCTTTGGCCTATTTTATTCTTCCAGCTGTGTCTCATCGGCAGCTCTGAGTCCCAGGTGAGTAATTATAGCTGGAGAAAGTCAAGGGCCTGCAGGTGCATCCTGCACTTGATTGGAACAGGGGCAGAGGTGCTAGGATTACCAGGAGGTTCTTCCATTAGCATTGCTTATGAACATTTTCACTTCCAAGTGGAATTTTATGCACAACAGTGGAACGTGCCCAATTTGTAAGCCAAATGATCCCCTCAACCATCCAGGGCTGTCCTTCATGTGCATCTGCTTCTAGGCAATCAAGTAACCCAACCAAGGTTCATGGAAGCCTTCTGCAGCCAGAGGACATGTTAAAGAGTATTAACCCTTCCTCCTGGTTTCAGGCACCATCTTAACATAAATAACTAGAGTTCCTTTCGTGTTGGGGTGGTGAAGGCTGAAATCTTACTAGAATTAAAACAACATAATCCTACCTCAGGTATCTGTGGATAGTCAGGAAGTTCTGTCTACCCCTAAAACAAGGTATCTATATTTCATTGTATGTATACAGTTTGTTCCTTTTTTGGCAGGTAGAACCAAATCATGGTGTAGGTCAGGCATCCTCAAACTACGGCCTGCAGGCCAAATGGGGGTGTTTTTGCCCGTTTGTTTTTTTACTTCAAAATAAGGTATGTGCAGTGTGCATAGGAATTTGTTCATAGTTTTTTTAAACTATAGTCCGGCCCTCCAATGGTCTGAGGGACAGTGAACTGGCCCCCTGTTTAAAAAGTTTGAGGACCCCTGGGTAGGTAATGGTGTGGGTAAGTGAATGGCTGCTTCATTCTATAAATTACCTTTTGGTCAGGTTTTAGCTATATTCTAATTAGATCTGTTTTAATGGAAAATAGTGATGTGTTTTAGAAACAAACCCTGAAATGCTTATCAGTCTTTCAAAATTATTATTTGGAAGTAACTGGGTTTACTTATAGTTCCACATGAGTCTATGCTCACGACATTAACTTTTAGAAATAATTTTTCTATACATAAGAGAATTTTGAAAATCTAACTATAACTTTTCCAATGTGACCTTCTAAAACCCATGGGGACTAATATCTTGAATAGCTGTGTTCATTAACATTTTGCAGGAAAAAATGCATGCATACATGCACATTTTCTCTGTAGAGAGACTGGCTCCACGCCAATACAGCAAAGGAGGAAAAAAAAATACACTCACAAAACACAGTTAACTCCCTGACTAAATGTGTGAAGGGAAAAACCTAATTTGGCAATACTGGAAGGATGTATATTTTGAAACAAAGGCTTCTTTTGGAAGCTTGTGTCAAATTAGTTGGCCATGGACTGAACAAGAATAACAGGCAGTGCACTTGTGTGAAAACCCAGCTGCTGTCTGTGATATTTGGTAATGAACTGCTTTTTGTATATGAAGATGACTCTACTAAGCAACTGGAAGTATGACATGTGCTGTGAGTAGTGTCTCCAGGAGTAAGGCTGGATTATTCCAATCTTTCACACTCTAGGGCTCAGCCCCTATTGGATCTTTTGCACATATTTGTGCAAACAAGGTATGGTCTGTGACCAAGTAACAGAGCCAAGCCAACTGGCACATAAAGGGTTCAAATCCATGACTTTGGCCTATTTAGTCCTGCATTCAAACACGCTGAGCTAATCATTCACACATCATTGAACATCACAAATGTGTATAGTCGCTGAAAGTCACAAATAATAATTGTCTGTTATTCCACTCTCACCATACGTGGATCATTGCATAAGAGTTCTGTTCATATGTGACAAGGTTGGATTCGATTTTGAGAACATGGCTTGTGACTTATTTTTTTCCAGTTGTTAAAGACAGTCACTAATTATTGCGCTATCCCAGCCTGTTAGAATTTACAGACTTTTAGTATTTAAAGAAAACCTGCTAATAGTTACAACCCTTTTGTTTGTTCTTTATATTTAAGACAACAAGGAATATGATGCCTATCTCTCTTACACAAAAGTGGATCAAGATACTTTAGACTGTGACAATCCTGAAGAAGAGCAGTTTGCTCTTGAAATACTGCCAGATGTCTTAGAAAAACACTATGGATATAAACTCTTCATCCCAGAAAGGGACCTGATTCCGAGTGGAAGTAAGTACTTTCAAGTTTTGTATTTAAAACATTTCATTTCTTTTAGGAAGTTATATGAAAGCTTCAAACATCAGAGCCAAGTATTTTAGACAGTTGTTTCTCACAGATTTTAGTAAATTCAAATTTCTCCCCAATGTCTATGTTCTGACTTTCTACCATCTGAATTTTTTAAAGGCATTCTCACTTACATTTTAGGTGTGGTTTCTAAATTGTGCCTTAATGGTATTTTTTATTATATTGCCTTAGTGTTCTGAGAAAATGATGGTCCTTTAAAAAAAAATCTGTAAAACTTAAAGCCTTTTTAGTATGTTTCACTTCCAAAGCTGGTCTTCTGTCTTTGCACTTCTATTTATACCTACAATCATTGTCACTAATAATTATGAATCTATGCTTTTCAATCTTGTTACTCATTATGCCTTGTCACTCATTCCCAGATTTATGGAAAAATCCACTTAAAAAAAAGGTGTATGAGGCCATTGGGTACAACACTCTCATTGTGTATTTAAATTATTTTCAAGAAGTACTGTGGGCTTGAATGCTACATTTAAGTTATGCTGCATATTGAAAGCTACAGTTGACCTTTCAGAATAAATTCCAATTCAAGTTAAAATATGTACTTTGTTCCTGTTAACATTCAGAGTGCATACACAGTAAAAATGTAGGGAGAATACAGAGGAGCCCATGATATGGTCCCTGCCCTCAAAGAGCTTAAAATGCCATTGAGGGAAAATAAAAGTGCTGGAACTCATTTGCATATGTGTCTCTGTTAATATCCTTGAAAAGGGACGATTGAACTAGTAACTACAAATCAGAACATGTTAATTTAAACACACGTGATAATAACAAGATAAAAAAGTTTCTATTTCCAGTACTTGACACTATATAAACTACTTTCACATATGTTATTTCACTTCATTTGTACAATAGCCCTGTGTAGAGAGAGAGCAGGTATTTACATTCCACATCTTCCAGATGAGGAAACAAAGCCTCAAAGAATTCAAGATGAGAAAGCCGGCAAACAGTAGACCTGGTGTGGAACCTTGATCTCTTTGACTTTGGTTCTCACTCTGCTGGATCATGCTGGTCCTCAATAACATTTATGCTGATCGTGAGCAGTCCACCATGGTCACCAGAATGACAGGAGACAGATGAAAACAACTGAGTATCGGTTGTTCGTCTCTTTGCTTATGTTGCACGTGTATTTATGTATGTTGGTGTATGCAGATTAGTATGCACACACACGTGCATAGAAAGAAACAAAACAATATTTGCTAGTCCATCCTGTCTCACAAATGCAAGAATTCCCCAAGCTTCTTCTCATGCTCTTCACTGTGTTCTCTCTGGAATCTCCCTCATTTTCATGACTTGAAATAACATCCACTATTGATTGATTCCCCAGGGAACATCCTGATATATTAGAGTCAATTTTTATTCTTCTGTGTCTTTCTCCCAAATCCAGTGTCCTCTGCATCTTTTTCATTCTCACTTCTACCATCCTAGTATAGGCCTTAATTAGCTTGTTCCTGAGATGGTGATTATATGTTTACTTTCCTTATCTTTCCTCCCATCCATCTAGCCCCACTAATATCATGTACACCTCCTTGGTCATATCATTTCTGTGCTCAACAAACTTGAGTTGTTCACTGTTTCCTACAGGATAACATCCAAAACCCTTACCTAAACAATTCTACAGTCTGCTGCCAGCCTAGATTTAGCTCCTAAGCTTGTCTCCTACAGTTGTCTCTACTCACACCCTCCACTCTAGCCAAAGTGTGCCTTTGATACCCATTGTGTGCCTCTGCAATGCTTTTGTTCGTATCAGCCTTCTATGCCTTTGCAAATCCTTTTATCCTTCTTCATATTACTGCCTTTGTGAAAAGCCCATAATAATCTCTCCAGCCCTAGAATTCATGGTGTATAATCACTTTTTGACAGTGAATTTTGTACTCCTGTGATATTTTGTATTAGTTTGTAATTTTATGTAGCTTTCCATCATTATTTATGTCTTATCTAGTCACCAAGATAATAAACTCCATGAGGACAGGGACTGTATCTCATTTATTTTCATACCCCTATTGTCATCTAGCAGAAGACTTAAGCCCATTCATTATGTGCTTCACGGATGCTTGTTGACTTTGAACAGTGTTAGTTTAAGACAAGACGAAATAATGAGAATGAAATAAATAAGGGCTTAAATTTTTACATGACGGTATCTGAAAGACCTTTTCCCTTAACAAGGTGAATGTGAAACTTAAAAATGATGTTTCTACTAAAAGAAAAAAATGTGTGTCATTCATAAAAATAATCTGGGTCCTTAGAATGAGCTAGTAAGTATACTGCTTTTGTTTTTTCAGATATTAGAAAGAATACCTACAAAACACTCTTCTACTATTTTTGGCCTAACTCAGTAGATTGCTATGTGTTTTTTTACCAGGAACATTTTGTTAAATGTAGAAATTCTGCAAAAATCTATATTTAGAGTGATAATATTCTAAATTGTATTAAGGTAATAGCATTACCAAAGTGGAATCGATATTATATGTCAAATCATCTTCAATAGGATTCAACATGGTGCCAGCCTTTCCACCTTCTTGCATTCCATAATTATTGGCACCACAATAAGCAGTCTTTATCAACCCCAACAAGGGACTGAAAAATGTCAGTCTTTAGGTCTGAACATTTCAACAATAATTATCTTTGTTCTGAACTAGAAAACAGTCCTTCACCATTATGCACATTAGAAAGGGAAATGGAGACCATGTGGATGGAATACAGGTGATCCACTTTACCTAAGACTTAGCAAATGACGCTTGCTTATTGTCTAATGAATGAAGCACATACTGTGAGTAGGTGAGAGTGAGACCCAGAGAGCCTGAGAATGAGAAAGACGCAAAGTTGTGTCCTCTTAGAGTTCCATTTCGATGACCTGACAGATCAGTCAAATCAACCCCTTGTATCAATTTAGCCAAACAGGTGGTAGAGTATTTTATACCTCATCGAGGTTGTTTGGATAAATTGATTGAGATCAATTAGTTGTTTTAGGCTTGCACAAGCCATAAAACTTCCCAACTCAAAACTACAAGATTTTAATTGACTATACACACTGTATAAGAGACGTTAGGAGGAAGTCACCTAGTTTACCTTGGCATTTAAAAGAATTCAACATAGGCCAGGCACAGTGGCTCACGCTGGTAATCCCAGCACTTTGGGATGCCAAAGTGGGAGGATTGCTTGAGGCTAGGAGTTCGAGACCAGCCTGGGCAACATAGCAAGACCCCATTTCTAAAAAAAAAAAATTTTTTTTGAAATCAGCCAGATGTGGTAGTTCATGCCTGTAGTCTCAGCTACTTGGGAGGCTGAGGTGAGAGGATCACTTGACCCCAGGAGTACGAGACTGCAGTGAGCTATGATTGTACCACTACACTCTAGCCTGGGTGACAGAGTGAGACCCTGCCCCCCCTAAAAGGAATTCAACATAAAATCACCCAAGACAATGTCATCAGAATGGGAAGAGATTTTATAGTCCATAGAAAATCATTTTAATTTTCTTTGAAATTGTGCAACCATCACACTGAGCAGGGCCTTGGATCTTGTGTCCTCAGTGGTACCCAGGAAGACTCCTTTTACAAGTAAGCCATTTGGGACAACTATGCAGTTTTTAGATGCAACCACTGGAGGGTGTTTGATTTTAATCCTTCCTTCCTGAACGAGGAAATTCATGTTCTCTGAATTCCGATTTGCGAGTGGAACCTGCAGAGGCTCTTAAAAAGGCCCTTTGACAATTTTTCTTTTCCATCAACATTGCAGAGCTAGCTGAGCAGTCACCATGTCACGATTAACGAGTTTTTCCTTGGCATTTTTAGCACGCATTCAGGAAGTCGATGAAGTATATGAATAATATACTTGATTTACACATGAATGACAGAGTAGAACATTTTGGACTTGGTGTATGTGTGTTATTAAAGAAGCTTCTGTGGTCTGTATTTGCAGCCATTGGTACAGATTTAACAGCTTATACTATATAAATATAGACACATTCCTGAGGGAAAAAAAACCTAGTTACAGTATTATAAGCTGTGTTTGTCCCTCACATCTCATTTAAAACATGTTGCCCTAAGACTACTCCTTCCTTCAAAAACTAGCAATGAGGCCTTTGAGGACTGTAAAAGCAGACTTCATAAGATCATTCTCGATCTGTAACAATAATTTTCTACAAAATCAAATTAATGAAGTCTATGACACAAACCCATTCATGTTTGCTGTCTTCACTTTTGATGTATCTTCAGTTTCTTTTGTACCACTCTTACAGTATTCCAACTTAACCTCATCAACACACAAACCTTTCCAATCCACACAGTTTCAAAAGCACATGAAAATCTCTCTCTCTCTCTCTCTCTCTCTCTCTCTCTCTCTCTCTCTCTCTCTCTCTCTCTCTCTCATATAACCAAGAGTTCTCAGAAATACTGAATACAAAAATGTCACTTTCCAAGGTGAGCCGGAGGTGTCTGTACCCTTCTCACACGCCCTACCAGGGACATGTTTTTCTTTGGCCACCATGAACCAGCCGAGATGGTGAGCTTTGATGCAAGTATTTTTCCTAAATGCTGAAACTAAGTCTTCCGATCTGGACATTATTTTCCTGGCAGTGACTACCTTTCCATTCTTGAGCCTGTGGCTAGGATCTTCCTTATGTTTTCTCAGGTTGGGTGCCTAAATGTGGCAAGAATTCCTACTTTCCAGTAAAAGTTTGGTCTGTCTCTTCCCAGACTAGAAACACCTGTCCCTTAGAACAGTAAAAGCAACTTTGTTGCCAACAGGCATCTGAATGTCAGAAGTGACAGGCAACCAGAAGAAAGCCAGATAGGAAACACCCTACTCAAACTGCCTAGAGACACAAACTTGAGAAGTAGAGATTTTCTCACCCCATGCAGCTGCTGGGTTTTGTGGTGTAAAGTATTCTACACAGAGCACATTGTGTTCATGGGGCCTAGTGGATCCTT